ATCCCACAACGAGGATGTATCTGAATATTCGCTTGGAAGCGTCAAGATCGTAGTTACACTTACAATCGCAGTAGCATCTCGATATCGTGTGGTTAGTAAAAGGAAAAGCTACTGCAAACTTCGGCATTTTTACTTTTATTTTACCTTACAAATGGACCAGTTACCCAACTATCGAATGATGGAAGACGTCCAAGATACTTCCCTTCTCCTTCCTTTTTCTACCTTCTCCCCTTTTTCTTCCCTCCATCTCTGTTCCCTTCACCTCTGAGAGCGCCACACGAAATTCTGCAGAAAAATTCGCCCATCAGCACGTTGCTCCTTTATTCAGGATTTTTTTCTTATTTGTTCAATATTCAAAGCATGGGCAGGAGGTGGTGTAGTGACAAGTGGCGCGCTCACCATTCGCGCGGTCCTGGGTTCGAATCCCGGGTCGACTCCCGCCCAGGCCAACCAAGCCTTCTACCCTCCGGGGACGGTAAATTGGTACCAGATTCGTCTGGGAGGATAATAACACTGACTTGTACATGGCCCCCGCAATAGGCCACATCGCATTCAATGAGCCACTACTGTTCTGAATGGAAGTAGAATGTGTGTGCATTCGCATTTTACAAACGGATTGATCAATGGCGAAGACTTCATCCTTTTTATTCAGTGCTTACCATCGGAGAAATTCTCGAACAAAAGAAAACCTCCGTCGAGCGAATGATGTTGAAGACGGCTGATGGATTGAACAAAGCATATGAAATGCTTCAACCGGCCTCGTCTGCCAATTTAATTTTCGATTTTTTCAAAGCCCCAGACGGAGATCATGCCAGTATTATAAAACTGTTGAAGGTAATAGGCCCACTCTCATTCTCATTCGCGGGCCAATTCCAAACGGCAGACGACCCTTAATTCTCGTAGTTTCTAGGTCCTGAAATCGTTCGGTTTGCGGGAAAAGGATCCACGACTGAAGGAAATGATGACTCGAATACAAAAAATTGAAGACTCTCGTGAGACCGGCCACAGCGGCGGATTTCATTTACGGCGTCACACCTTCAGAGAGTAAATTCAGGTTTCAGGATGACCCTCCAAAATCACACTCATCTCATACTCAGGTGTGTTTCTCCATCTCTACAGTTGATTTCTCAATCACTCCGTGGTCAGATGATAATTCCTAATTGGAGAGACTTCTGCGAACGAATTACGGAGATCTTTGAAGAGGTAAGGTTGAGTTACAGGTACTGTGAATGTAATTCTAGGATCACGTTCGTACTACATGACTCAAACGGCTTATTAGTGCGATTTCGGAACTGGACCTCCGACCAGTGAAAAAAGCAACTTCTGATTCCCAGAATCTGCCACCGATCCGAATGTGATTAATTGGCAGTTCAAGGGGCCATGGTTGGCAGATTCTCGATTAGGGAATTAAGCGACGTCGCTCGAGCAACCGCTCGAGTCACCAAGTATGAACGTGGCCCAACCTTTTTATAGTCGAGTTCTCTTCGGACAAAGGGGCGTTCCTACGTGCACCTTGACGAGCGCTCCGCGCTACGTGTCGGTGGAATGCGTGCCTCAGCGCTCTCTGACATCGACTCCGCGCTGATACACACGCCGGCGCGCAATCTACTCACTCTTCCGTCTAGACTCTCGCCGATCGGTAATGGCCGACGCGCTCAGTCAGCTGATTTCTGCTGTACTCATCTTGTAAAAGCTGGAATTCCTCTTCGTCCAGCTTAATTAAGATAAGGCAGGTACGTTTACTAAGGCAAGGTTTTATTTTGAATGATTTCAGCTTGACTTT